TGTGTCAAATAAATAAAGAAAGAAAGAAAGAAAGAAAAACCTTTAAATAAATAAATAAATAAATAAATAAATTTTAAAAATGGGTAGCTTGCCTTTTGATGTGAGTTATTAAGAGCTCTTTATGTATTCTGGATATAAGTCCCCTTATCAAATATCTGATTTGCAAATATTTTTTTCCCATTTTGTGGATTGTCTTGCAGTTTCTTGGTAGTGTCCTTTAAACTCAAAAGGTTTGAATTTTGATGAAGTGCAATTTGCCTACTTTCTTCTTTTGTTGCTTGTGCTGTTGGTTTCATATCTAAGAAGACCGCCTAACTCAGAGTCATGAAAATCTACTCCTATATTTTCTTCTAAGAATTTTATATGTTTAGCTCTTACACTGAGAACTATGATCCATTTGGAGTTAATCTTCATGTGTGGTGTGAGGTAGGGGTCCAACTACATTCTTATGCATGTGAATGTCCAGTTGTCCCAGTGTCATTTGTTGAAAGGCTGTTATTTCCCCCATTGAATTATCCGGACATTCTGTTTGTTAAAATTTTGTTTAAAGTTTTTGCATGTCCTTTCATGAAGGATATTGGTCTTGAATTTTTCTTCTTTTTTTCATTTTTAAGTTATCTCTGTACCCAATGTGAGGCTCAAACTTATAACCCCAAGATTAAGAATCACATGCTCCACTGACTAAGCCAGCCAGGTACTCCGAATTTTTTTTTATAATGTCTTAGTCTAGTTTTGCTATCAGGGTAATGCTGACTTCATGCTTCAATTTTCTGGAAGAGTCTGTGTTGAATTAGTATTATTTTCTCTTAAATATTTGGTAGATTTCAATATGAAGGCGATTGAGGCCTGCAGTTTCTTTGTGGGAAGACTTCTACCTACTAATTCAATTTCTTTAATAGATATAAGGTTATTTGGGTTATCTACTTCTTGAGTAAACTTTGGTGTTTTATGTCTTTGAAGGAATATTTGTTCATTTCATCTAATTGTCAGATTTATTGTCATAAGTTTGTTCATAATATTCCCTCATTCTCCTTTTAATGCACTGATACCACCTCTTTTGTTCCTACTATGGATTTTTTTTTTTTTTGTAAAGGTTTTATTTATTTATTTGACAGAGAGAGACACAGCGATAGAGGGAACACAAACAGGGGGAGTGTGAGAGGGAGAAGCAGGCCTCCTGCAGAGCAGGGAGCCCGATGCGGGGCTCAATCCCAGGACCCCGGGATCATGACCTGAGCCGAAGGCAGATGCTTAATGACTGAGCCCCCAGGGGCCCCCCTACTATGGATTATTGATGTCTTCTTTCTGTTTTGCCTGACTAGTCTGGCTACAGGTTATCAGCTTCATTGATAAACAATCAACTTTTGGTTCCATTGATTTCTCTATTGTTGTCTATTTTCTATTTCTTTAATTCCCATTATGATGTTATTTCCTTGCTTCTGCTTACTTTGGGTTTAATTTGCTCTCTCTTTTTTTTTCTTTTAGTTTTTAAGATGGAAACCAAGGTCATTTATTTCAGACCTTTCTTTACT